CACTCACTCAGTCACTCACTTAGTCACTCACTCAGTCACTCACTCAGTCACTCACTCACTCACTCAGTCACTCACTCACTCACTCAGTCACTCACTCAGTCACTCACTTAGTCACTCACTTAGTCACTCACTTAGTCACTCACGCAGTCCCTGCTGGACGGCGTCGTCAGCGGCACCACCGAGGAGTCGTGCAGCTTCGGTTAGTCACTCACTTAGTCACTCACTCAGTCACTCACTTAGTCACTCACTTAGTCACTCAGTCACTCACTTAGTCACTCACTTAGTCACTCACTTAGTCACTCAGTCACTCACTTAGTCACTCACTTAGTCAGTCACTCAGTCACTCAGTCACTGACTTAGTCACTCACTTAGTCACTCACTTAGTCACTCACTCACTTATTCAGTCACTCAGTCACTCACGCAGTGGCACCACTCACTCACCCATTCACTCACCCACCCACGCACTCACCCACTCACTCTCTCACCCACTCACTCACCCACTCACTCATTCACCCACTCACCCTCTCACCCACTCACTCACCCACCCACTCGCCCACGCACTCACTCACTCACTCACCCACTCACTCACCCACTCACTCACCCACTCATTCACTCACTCTCTCAATCACTCACTCACTCACCCACTCACTCTCTCACCCACTCACTCACCCACCCACTCGCCCACGCACTCACTCACTCACCCACCCTCTCACCCACTCACTCACCCACCCACTCGCCCACGCACTCACTCACTCACCCACCCACTCGCCCACGCACCCACTCACTCACTCACCCACTCACTCACTCAGCCACTAACTCACCCACTCACTCACTCACCCGCCCCACTCACTCACCCACTCACTCACTCATCCACTCACTCACCCACCCACTCACTCACCCACTCACTCACTCACCCACTCACTCACTCACTCACCCACTCACTCACTCACCCACTCACTCACTCACTCACCCACTCACTCACTCACTCACCCACTCACTCATCTACTCACTCACTCACCACCAACTCAACCCACCCCACCCACTCACTCACTCACCCACTCACTCACTCACTCACCCACTCACTCACTCACCCACCCACCCACTCACTCACTCACTCACCCACTCACTCACTCACTCACCCACTCACCCACTCACTCACTCACTCACTCACCCACTCACTCACTCACTCACTCACTCACCACTCACTCACCTACTCACTCACTCATCTACTCACTCACTCACCCACCCACTCACTCACCCACCCACTCACTCACTCACTCACCCACTCACTCACTCATCTACTCACTCACTCACCCACCCACTCACTCACCCACCCACCCACTCACTCACTCACTCACCCACTCACTCACTCACCCACTCACTCACTCACCCCACCCACTCACTCACTCACTCACTCACCCACCCACCCACTCACTCACTCACTCACCCACTCACTCACTCACTCACCCACTCACTCACTCACTCACCCGCCCACTCACCCACCCACTCACTCACTCACCCACTCACTCACCCACTCACTCACTCACCCACTCACTCACTCACCCGCCCACTCACCCACTCACCCACTCACTCACTCACCCACTCACTCACTCACTCACCCACCCACCCACTCACTCACTCACTCACTCACCCACTCACTCACTCACTCACCCACTCACTCACTCACTCACCCGCCCACTCACCCACCCACTCACTCACCCACTCACTCACCCACTCACTCACTCACTCACCCACTCACTCACTCACTCACCCGCCCACTCACCCACTCACCCACTCACTCACTCACCCACTCACTCACTCATCCACTCATTCACCCACCCATCACCCCCCCCCCCCGTAATGGTGATGGTGATGTTGGTGATGGTGGTGATGGTGATGATGATGTTGGTGATGGTGATGTTGGTGATGTTGGTGATGTTGATGATGATGATGGTGTGTATGTTGATGGTGATGTTGGTGATGTTGATGTTGGTGATGGTGGTGATGATGATGATGTTGATGTTGGTGATGTTGGTGGTGGTGATGGTGATGATGATGTTGATGTTGGTGATGTTGGTGGTGGTGATGGTGATGATGATGGTGATGATGGTGATGATGGTGATGTTGGTGGTGATGATGGTGATGATGATGTTGATGTTGGTGATGTTGGTGGTGATGATGGTGGAGATGATGTTGATGATGATGGTGTTGGTGATGATGATGATGTTGATGATGGTGATGTTGGTGGTGATGATGGTGATGATGATGGTGATGATGATGGTGTTGGTGATGATGATGATGTTGATGTTGGTGATGTTGGTGGTGGTGATGGTGATGATGATGGTGATGATGGTGATGATGGTGATGTTGGTGGTGATGATGGTGATGATGATGTTGATGTTGGTGATGTTGGTGGTGATGATGGTGGAGATGATGTTGATGATGATGGTGTTGGTGATGATGATGATGTTGATGATGGTGATGTTGGTGGTGATGATGGTGATGATGATGGTGATGATGATGGTGTTGGTGATGATGATGATGTTGATGTTGGTGATGTTGGTGGTGGTGATGGTGATGATGATGGTGATGATGGTGATGATGGTGATGTTGGTGGTGATGATGGTGATGTTGATGTTGATGTTGGTGATGTTGGTGGTGATGATGGTGATGATGATGGTGATGATGATGATGTTGGTGATGATGATGATGTTGATGATGTTGATGATGATGTTGATGATGTTCATGATGATGTTGATGATGATGGTGATGATGATGATGTTGATGATGTTGCAGCCCTCTTCAACCTGATCCCCGTCGGACTCCGCATCGTGGCGATCCAGGGGGTGAAGTCAGGACTCTACATCGCGATGAACAACGACGGGCACGTGTACTCCTCTGTGAGTACACACAGTACACAATGCGGCAGTACACACACAGTACACAGTACACACACACAGTACACACACACACAGTACACATACAGTACACACAGTACATACAGTACACACACAGTACACACACACAGTACACATACAGTACACACAGTACATACAGTACACACACACAGTACACACACAGTACACACACAGCACACACAGTACACATACACACAGTACACACACAGTACACATACAGTACACATTACACACACACACAGCACACACACACAGTACACACACAGTACACAGTACACACACAGTACACAGTACACACAGTACACACACAGTACACAGTACACACACAGTACACACACAGCACACACATCACACACAGTACACACACAGTACACAGTACACACACAGTACACACACACAGTACACACACAGTACACACACAGTACACACACAGTACACACACACACAGTACACACACAGTACACACACAGTACACACACAGTACACACACAGTACACACACAGTACACACAGTACACACAGTACACAGTACACACACAGAGCACACACACACAGTACACACAGTACACACACACAGTACACACACAGTACACACACAGTACACACACACACAGTACACACACACAGTACACACACACACACAGTACACACACAGTACACACACACACAGTACACACACAGTACACACACACAGTACACACACAGTACACACACACAGTACACAACACACAGTACACACACAGTACACACACACAGTACACACACAGTACACACACAGTACACACAGTACACACAGTACACACACACACAGTACACACACAGTACACACAGTACACACACACACACAGTACACACACACAGTACACACACAGTACACACACACACAGTACACACACACAGTACATACACACAGTACACACACAGTACACACACACAGTACACACAGTACACACACAGTACACACACACAGTACACACACACAGCACACACAGTACACACACACACAGTACACACACACAGTACACACACACAGTACACACAGTACACACACACAGTACACACACAGCACACACACAAGTACATACACACAGTACACACACAGTACACACACACAGTACACACACACACAGTACACACACACAGTACACACACACAGTACACACACAGTACACACAGTACACACAGTGCACACACACAGTACACACACAGTACACACACACAGTACACACACACACAGTACACACACACAGTACACACACACACAGTACACACACACACAGTACACACACAGTACACACACACACAGTACACACACACAGTACACACACACACAGTACACACACAGTACACACACACAGTACACACACACACAGTACACACACACACAGTACACACACAGTACACACACACACAGTACACACACACAGTACACACACACACAGTACACACACACAGTACACACACACACAGTACACACAGTACACACACAGTACACACACACAGTACACACACAGTACACACACACACAGTACACACACAGTACACACACACAGTACACATACAGTACACACACAGTACACACACACACAGTACACATACAGTACACACACAGCACACACACACAGCACACATACAGTACACATACAGTACACACACACAGTACACACACAGTACACACACACACAGTATACACACAGTACACACACAGCACACACAAACAGTACACACATACAGTACACACACAGCACACACACACAGTATACACACAGTACACACACAGTACACACACACAGTACATACACATCACACACAAGACACACACAGTACACACACAGTACACACACACAGTACACACACACAGTACACACACAGTACACACACACAGTACACACAGTACACACAGCACACACACACAGGACACACACAGTACACACACAGTACATACACAGTACACACACACAGTACACACACAGTACACACACAGTACATACACAGTACACACACACAGTACACACACACAGTACACACACACAGCACACACACACAGTACACACACAGTACACGCACAGTACACGCACGGTACACACACACACAGTACACACACACAGCACACACACACAGTACACACACACAGTACACACACACAGTACACACACAGCACACACACAGTACACACACAGTACACACAGTACACACACAGTACACAGTACCACACAGTACACACAGTACACACACAGTACACACAGTACACACACACAGTACACACACACACAGTACACACACTACACACACACAGTACACACACACAGTACACACACACAAACTGCTGTTGTTGTTGTTATTGAACCTTCCTTAAATCGCCCTAACGTGCCCAGCTTAAGTGGCTACAATGTCAATTGCGTTCAGGCATGATCGGAGCGAGCCCGCAGCTAGTGCCTCGGCACATGTGGGGTAGCGGGGAGTGGTGGTGCAGCGGTTAGCGCCACGAACCCGGCGACCCGAGTTCGATTCCCGCTCACGGCCAACACCAGTGACGATTCTCTGAAACGGTCCTGGGCCTCCTCCCCTAAGTCGACTCAGCCTCAAATGAGTACCTGGTGCGGTGTGTAGTAAAGATCATTACTAGGGAGACAAAGGCGGTCGGGCGTGGTGCTGGCCACCCACCCCCTCGTGTACCGTTGCGGCCTTCATAGGTGCTCGCTAACAGCACTTGCCCCTACAGTTTGTTAAGGCTACACGGGGGATCTTTGTCTACATGGGGACAGGCCACACGACTTGGACACGGAGATAGAGACACCCAGACCCAGGGCTCGAACCCAGACTCTCAGTGTCTCCGACACGGCCATTGCGACCCCACAGAGACACAGAGAGAGACACCCAGACCCAGGGCTCGAACCCAGACTCTCAGTGTCTCTGACACGGCCATCGTGAACCAACAGAGACACAGAGAGACACAGAGAGAGACACCCAGACCCAGGGCTCGAACCCAGGCTCTCAGTGTCTCCGACACGGCCATTGTGAACCCACAGAGACACAGAGAGACACAGAGAGACACAGAGAGACACCCAGACCCAGGGCTCGAACCCAGACTCTCAGTGTCTCCGACACGGCCATCGTGAACCCCCTGAGACACAGAGAGACACCCAGACCCAGGGCTCGAACCCAGACTCTCAGTGTCTCCGACACGGCCAGTACACACACAGTACACACAGTACACACACAGTACACACACACAGTACACACACAGTACACACACACAGCACACACAACACACACACAGTACACACACACACAGCACACACACAGTACACACAGCACACACACAGTACACACAGCACACACAACACACACACAGTACACACACACACAGCACACACACAGTACACACACACCGTACACACACACACAGCACACACACCGTACACACACACAGCACACACACAGTACACACACAGTACATGCACAGTACACACACACAGTACACACACAGTACACACACACCGTACACACACACACAGCACACACACAGTACACACACAGTACACACACACAGTACACACACACAGCACACACACAGTACACACACACACAGTACACACAGTACACACACAGTACACACACAGCACACACACACACAGTACACACAGTACACACACACAGAACACACACACAGCACACACACAGTACACACACTACACACACACAGTACACACACAGTACACACACACACACAGTACACACACACAGTACACACACACACAGCACACACAGTACACACACAGTACACACAGTACACACACAGTACACACACAGTACACACACACACAGTACACACACAGCACACACACAGTACACACACAGTACACACAGTACACACACACAGTACACACACACAGAACACACACACAGTACACACACACAGCACACACAGTACACACACACACAGTACACACACACAAACTGCTGCTGCTGTTGTTGTTGTTGAACCTTCCTTAACTCGCCCTAACGTGCCCAGCTTAAGTGGCTACAATGTCAATTGCGTTCAGGCATGATCGGAGCGAGCCCGCAGCTAGTGCCTCGGCACATGTGGGGTAGCGGGGAGTGGTGGTGCAGCGGTTAGCGCCACGAACCCGGCGACCCGAGTTCGATTCCCGCTCACGGCCATCAGAACCCCCAGTGACGATTCTCTGAACCGTCCTGGGCCTCCTCCCCTAGGTCGACTCAGCCTCAAATGAGTACCTGGTGCGGTGTGTAGTAAACATCACCACTGGGGAGACAAAGGCGGTCGGGCGTGGTGCTGGCCACCCACCCCCTCGTGTGCCGTTGCGGCCTTCATAGGTGCTCGCTAACAGCACTTGCCCCTACAGTCTGTTGAGGCTACACGAGGGATCTTTGTCTACATGGGGACAGGCCACACGACTTGGACACGGAGAGAGAGACACCCAGACCCAGGGCTCGAACCCAGACTCTCAGTGTCTCCGACACGGCCATCGTGAGAGAGACACTCAGACCCAGGGCTCGAACCCAGACTCTCAGTGTCTCCGACACGGCCATCGTGACCCCACAGAGAGACACTCAGACCCAGGGCTCGAACCCAGACTCTCAGTGTCTCCGACACGGCCATCGTGACCCCACAGAGAGACACTCAGACCCAGGGCTCGAACCCAGACTCTCAGTGTCTCTGACACGGCCATTGTGATCCCCCTGAGAGAGACACACCCAGACCCAGGGCTCGAACCCAGGTTCTCAGTGTCTCCGACACGGCCATCGTGAACCCACAGAGACACAGAGAGAGAGAGACACCCAGACCCAGGGCTAGAACCCAGGATTTCAGTGTCTCTGACACGGCCATCGTGAACCCACTAAGAGACACAGAGAGACACCCAGACCCAGGGCTCGAACCCAGACTCTCAGTGTCTCTGACACGGCCATCGTGAACCTCCTGAGAGAGACACCCAGACCCTGGGCTCGAACCCAAGCTCT